TGTTAATGTAAACTAAACTTGACAAAAATAACAAAATTACAAATAAATTAAAATCAAATTGCTCAAATTAAATAACATGAATTAAATTCTAACTAGTCCTAACTACATCCTGATATCACATGTTCTATCAGAACATAACTCATAACTAAGGACCAAGTTTTATCACCAACATCTTCAACACCATGTTGATGATCACTTACAAAAAACACAAGAGCAACAACACAAAAGAAAGGCAATGAGAAACATCTCACATTGGCTCATGGTGCAAGAATGCAAACCAATTAGTCTAACACAAACAAGACATACAACAAGATATAACATACAGAGATAATAATTATCATCATGGTTATTCAGTCATAACATAATAAGTAATAACAGATACATTATAAAAAATTATGCAATGGACACCGAATTACATGTTAACATGCATGTGACACCAGTAAAAATATCACATGATGTATTGTCGCCAACAACACACATAAAGTAGTCTAAGAGTATATGTCGGGTCACACACCCTCTACACACTCTCACTGGGAAGATATACTATCAAGGTCTAGTTGGGATAGTTGAGTTGCACAAGATACATCCCATGCAATTAATGGGCAATATTAGGACTTACAAAGCAAGTTATCCCCAAGAATTAATTTCCAATCTTTTGCAAAAGGGTGTCTTCCTTGGCAGTGTATTCAACATTGTACCCTTAAAACATTTATGCATATGATGCATGTATATCAAGACTTTATGCATTACCATATCACATTATCATGTCTCATTATCAAATGACCTCATCATGTCATTTTAACTATATCAACTTATCTCATATCACATAATCATCAACTATCTCAATATAACAATCAACAACGCAACTGTATTCATTAAAGGTTAACATTGAATAGCACAAGAAATAACATCACTACCATTTATAGATCACAAGAGAGAAGTAACATAAGATTCACATCATACCAGTAGAATTCATTAAACAAAAATGGAAGAGAACACAATTGGGCAACTGACAGTTAGCGTCAAGCTAGGCGTTTAGTGCAAAGCTTCCATATAGTAACCTTGACTTATTGCTCACAAACAACACTTCTAGCTCTCTGCCACCATGATGCTCAATGCTAGAAATGATTATCAACATGGTTTTTGTGATCAGAAACTCTGTAATATGCAATTTTTGTATTTTCATCCCAAATCATCAATCTATTTATACAATCGGTGAAAGTGTTTTAAATCACCAAATAAACATTCTAAATAGTACAATTTATTCATGCAGTTACATCTTTAAACAATCTTCTCATACAACTACCAATTCATTCCCTTAGGATTTCCCATAAGAATCCATAGGAACACCAAAATATGCAATTACAAGCAAAACTTAAACATTACCCACACATACATACTAATTATATCAATCAGGACATAAAAGGAGAAACATAAAAGATAAAGACACATTTGAAAAAATCCCTCAAACATAGACATACAACAGAGACAAGATTGGGGGTTAATTAATCTCGGTATCCAACATACAATCTCACACCCAAAGTGAAGGTTCTCACTTTCCTTTTACCTTGGTAAGCAAAAGAAGACGGATGCATATATCCGAGGTGATTTCCTTCTTTTTTCTGTTCTTCAAGCTTTGAAGTGCATATGTAAAACAAAAGCATAAAATGGTATAATTAGAAAACTACTCATTTAAAAATCTTAACCTTTCTTTAATCTTCTAGTTAAAACACTTAACTTTAGTTACTAATTTTCTTCCATTTTAATTTAATTAATAAAAATATTTAAATAAAACCAAGAATAATACACCTTATATTATATTTCAAAACATACCAAATAGTTAAATAAATACCAAAAAACTCCTATTAATAAAAATAAAATATCAAAATTATTAATAAAATATTTAATTTTAAGAAAAATAGGATGTTACAAATCTTGTCTTACTATTGTACCAAGTATGATCATTACAATCTAACAACATGAAAAATAAGGGTAAACTTATGAAATAAAATAACATATCAACAAATTAACACAACTACGACTGAAAGCCTAACATCATACAACTTAAGCAACTTATGACAATAGGCGACTTGCAACATTAGACAACTTAAATCATCATCATATATATCATTATATATCAATATATAATGAACTATATTCAATCTTCATCAGGGCTACCAACAACTAGATCGAAGCTACCAAAAAACATGCATACATCAAGAAAAGAACAACAACTCAAGCATTCAACTTAACAACTCCAATTCTTCTCATCCCACGCCAGAATTTTTGCATGCAACTTCGAAATCTTCCAATTATAACAAGACACAACTCATGAATTGAAGAAAATGAGACAAGCAACATCAATACACTAGCCAAATCGTCGAATCTTTCCTTTTTCACCAAGAACAAAAAACACAAATGTTCCACCTTAAAAATTCAATTTCAATGTTTACCAAATCATGAATCAATTTGAGAAAACACCATACACGACTTTAGAAATCAAACAACAAGCTTCTTTTATCTCGAATCTTCCAAAGAAGAAGAAGAAAGGAAGAGAACCCAAAAAACCTAAAACTCTCATATGACGACTTCTCTCTAAGATTCACAACTTCTCAGCTTCTACCACACCAACTAGTAACCAGGGGAACAAAAGGGATCTTCTGATGAAATTGGATTGAAGATCAGACTCTATTAGTCCTGGAGCACTTATCTCTAATTTCTCTATAAGATTCTAGAATTATGAACATATGAAGTTTATTTCTTAGAATTTGCCTTATATAGCTTAACCCTCCACAAGCCAACTTTCATACACTTAAGTTATATCATTTATAACTTAAGCTTAGAGTTATTATCTAAATTCTAACTTTCGTCCCACAAGGTTAAAAACAACCAAACAACACAAAATATATATCTTAATTACATATATTACAAATGTACAAAATTAAGAAAAAAAATGGTGTTACAAATATCCTTATTAATTTAATATTCAACTTGTCTTATTTCATTTTTCATTAAAAATATTATGCGCATCTAAAAAAAATAATTGATTATACCAATTTTCATGATAAAATAATTTTGTTTGACTAAAATATTTTTATTCTATATAAATGATTAACTATATTGTACCATTACAATTAATATTTATTAATGTATTTATTTCTTAAAGATATTATTCAAAAAAAGTTAATAATTTATTGATATTTCAAAATGACAAATAATTTGAGACAAATATGTATATATGCATTAAAAAAATTGTCTTATACTGATTCAATACTTATTACTAAAAATTACTTTTACATATATTATAATGCAATATATGTTGGTATCTTATATTATTAATAAATGCGGGTATGAGTTGTAGTGACACATATATATGTTGTTGAATAACATTCAAAATTATCATTAAAATTATGTATAAATATATGTCAAATAAATTTATACATACACATATTATATTTGTAGTGTGTCATTATATGTAATATTTCTTGTAATGATAACTCTTTTAATATATATATATATATATATATATATATATATATATATATATATATATATGAAAGATATA